GGCTGTGGGCGGGGGCTGGGCAGGGGGTCGCTCACCCCCCCTTCCCCTCCCCCGCAGGAAGCTGGGCGACGGGCTCTTCCTGCAGTGCTGCCGGGAGGTGGCGGGCGGCTACCCGGAGATCGCCTTCGACAGCATGATCGTGGACAACACCACCATGCAGGTGAGAACCCTGGCGTCCGGGCCTCCCCCCCCCCCCCCCCCCCGGGCGGCACCCCCCCCCCCCGCCCCCCCCGCCCCCCCCCCCCCCGGCCCTGCGCCCCCCCCTTCCCCCCTGCGGCCCCCCTCGCTCACGGTCTCGAAGACGGCGAAGTCCCTCCCGTAGTTGGCGCCGGGCACCAGCCCCGGGCCCCCGACCAGCCCTGCGCACACGTTGTTCACGATGTTCCCGTAGAGATTGGGCATCACCATGACGTCGAACTGCTGGGGGCGGGACACCAGCTGGGGGGAGAGCGGGGGTCAGGACGCCGGGGTTCTCTCCCGGGGCGGGGGGGGGGGGGGCCCGGACGCCAGGGTTCTCACCTGCATGGTGGTGTTGTCCACGATCATGCTGTCGAAGGCGATCTCCGGGTAGCCGCCCGCCACCTCCCGGCAGCACTGCAGGAAGAGCCCGTCGCCCAGCTTCCTGCGGGGGAGGGGAAGGGGGGGTGAGCGACCCCCTGCCCAGCCCCCGCCCACAGCCCCCCACAGCCCGCAGACCCCGCGGCCCGGCACCCACATGATGTTGGCCTTGTGCACGGCGGTGACCTTGGCGCGCCCGGTGTCGCGGGCCAGCCGGAAGGCGTAGTCGGCGATGCGCAGGGACCGCGCCTTGGTGATGATCTTCAGGCACTCCACCACGCCGGAGACGCTCTGCGGGGCAGGGGGCGGGGTCAGGACGTGGGGGGCGGAGACCTGAGCCCCACGGAGGGGAGGGGCACGGCTCAGGCTTCCCCTCCCAAACGGGGCAGGGCCCAAGGTGGAGCCAAGGCACCAGGTGAGCACAGATCCCAGGGGGGCTGGGGCCCCCAGGGGCTGGGCGGGAGCTCCTGGGGGCAGGGCTTCCAGGGGGTGGGTGGACCTCCCAGGCAGTGGGCAGGGCTCCCAGGGGCAGGACCCCAAGGGGACAGAGGCGGGGCTCCCATGGGGTGGGCAGGGGAAGGGGCGGGGCTCCCAGGGGCAGGACTCCCGGGGGACAGAGGCGGGACTCCCAGGGGGTGGGCAGGGGCAGGGGCGGGGCTCCCAGGGGCAGGACCCCAGGGGGTGGGCGGGGCAGGGGCAGGGCTCCCAGGGGCAGGACCCCAGGGGGTGGGCGGGGTAGGGGCGGGGCTCCCGGGGGGCGGGGCCCCAGGGCGGCACCTCGTGCTCCAGGCTGCTGTACTCGCCCTCCGTGTTCTCGCGGACGATGAGGATGTCGATGTCCCGGTGCCGCGTCAGCACCCGCGGGAGGCTCTGGCAGTGAATCACGTTGGCGTAGAGATCCAGGCTGGTGCTGGGGGGGACAGGGTCAGAGCCCCCCCCGGGATGGCCGGCGCCCCTCACTCCCAAACCACAGCCTCCCCCTAAGCTCCGCAAGCGCCCCTCACTCCCAACCCGGGGCCCCCCCAAGCTCCGCAAGCGCCCCTCAATCCCAAACCACAGCCTCCCCCCAGCTCCGCCGGCGCCCTTCACTCCCGACCCGGGGCCCCCCCAAGCTCCGCAAGCGCCCCTCACTCCCATCCCCCACCCCCCGGCACGTAGCCCCGCTCACCGCAGGATGTTGTTCCGGGATTTGTGGGACGGGGGCAGGTTGTGGTTGGTCTCAATGTTTCCTGTCAACCAGAAACGAGTTAATCCCCGAACGCAGGAACCCAGACCAGACGGGGACCCCGCGGCCCCTCAGTGCGGGGCTGGGTACCCAGGGACCCCTCAGTGGGGGCAGGGGGCTGGGGACCCAGGGACCCCTCAGTGGGGGCAGGGCAGGGGGCCGGGGACCCCTCAGTGCGGGGCAGGGGGCCGGGGACCCAGGGACCCCTCGGGGGCGGGGCAGGGGACCCAAAGTGCGGGGCAGGGGACCCCTCGGGGGTGGGGCAGGGGACCCAGAGTGTGGGGGGACACCAGGCCCTGCACCCCCGGCTTCCTGCGATTCCCCGCGACTCTCAGCCAGCCAGTAAAGCAGCAGGTTTATTTAGACGACAGGAATACGGCCCAAGACAGGTCTTGCAGGCACAGATAACAGGCCCCCCCCCCCCCCCCCAATGAGGTCCATCTATGGGTCCCAGGGCACCACAGCCCCATTGGGGGGGCAGAGCCCCGTCTAGGCTCCCCTCCATTCCACCAGCCAGCTCCTGAAACTCCAACTCCCTCCAGCGTCTCACCCAGCCTCCCCCCAGCTCCTCCCCCAACCTTTGTTCAATTCCCGGGCAGAGGTGTCACCTGGCCCCAGCCCCCTCCTGGGTCCCTCCAGGCCCGTCTCCCATCCCCCAATGCAGCCCCCCAGCCAAACCCCCCTGCAACCTTCCCCGGCCCACACTCCCCACCCAGCATTCAACCACCACATTGAGAACAGGCCCAGTTCGCCACAGCAGGGCCGGGGACCCCTTGGGGGCGGGGCCGGGGACCCCTCCAGCACCGGGACAAACCCTTCAGGGCGACGCGGTTTCGCCGGATGGCCATGATCGCGTTCTGAATATCGTCCTCCGCCGCGTCCGAGCTCACCCGGACCTCCTCGAAGTCCACCGGGACGCAGGCCTGCCTGGGGGAGGGGAGAGAGACAGGACACCTGGGTTCTCTGGGAGGGGAGTTAGACCCTTGGCTGGGTTTCCACGCTCTCTGGGTCAGCACAGGGGGCAGCTGCCCCCATCCCCCCCCTACCTGAACACCTCCTTCACGTGCAGCATCAGCTCCGGCCCGATGCCGTCACCCGGGATCATGGTCACGGTGTGACGCCCCCCGTACTTCGCAGGAGGAGGCTGCGGGAAGAGGCGGTGTGAGAGAACCCAGGAGTCCGGGCTCCCAGCACCCCTGTTCTAACCCCCCAGCCCCCACTCCCCTCCCTGAGCAGAGAACCCAGGAGTCCGGGCTCCCAGCCCCCCTGCTGTAACCCCCCCGCCCCCCCCCCCCCCCCTGCGCCGCGCCCCCGGGCCGGGGGCCCCCCCCCCCCCCCCCCCCGCCTGTTCTAACCACCAGCCACCACTCCCCTCCCAGAGGCAGGGAGAGAACCCAGGAGTCCGGGCTCCCAGCCCCCCACCCCCGCCTGAACCTGCCTCCTTCCCTCCCACTGGCCCCCCATTGTACCCCGCAGTCTGGGAACAGTACTCACGATGGGAGTGTGCTGTGGGTCGCAGGATGCACAGACGGGGGGGGGGGGGAGAGAAGGGGGTTAGTACAGCTCAGTGGGAAGGAGGCTGGGTCGTGGGGGACGGGGGCCCCCCCGGGACACCCCCTTCCTTCGGGGGAGGGGTCTGAAGCTAAGCCCACAGGCCACGGTACCCCCAGGTCACCCCAATCCTTGACCCATTCCCAGCCAGCCCCCCCCATCCTGCCCCCCAGGGAGCCGTGGGGCCGCCTAGCGTCCTGCGGCAGGGAGTTCCCCAGGCCGACCGGGCGTGTCCCTCCGTGGGGATGGGGGTCACGACCCCGCAGCCGGCCCCGCCCCGCTCGCCAAGCCCCGCCCACGGGCAGAGCGGGGGGCCGGGGGGGACTCACTGACGTCATGGTCCTCCGCTCGGCTCCCGGCACCTGGGGGAGAACAAGGGGGGCAGGTTAGAGCCGGGGGGGGGGGGGGCCCGGACGCCTGGGTTCTTTCCCCAGCTCAGGGGCGGGGGTCACTCTTGCTCGCCCCAGAGGATGCTGGGAACTGGCCCCAGGGATTGGCGTCTCTCTAGCGCCCTCTGCGGGGCTGAGCGAGGTCACCCCCTTCCATCCCCCGCCCCCGCTGGCTCAGGGGAGCCGCAGCCAATCAGAACCGGCCGCTTCGCTGTGTCCCGCCCACTCGGGGAAGCCGACCCAATCAGCAACAACCGCAGGTGACGAAGACCAATCGAAAGAAACTCACCAGCTTGGCCCCGCCCCACTCTTTGGAAGTGCCTCTTTCCCGCCCCCTTCAGGCGTCTCAACCAATCAGCTCCGCTCTGATCGATCAAGCCCCACCCATCCCCTACGCGTAGTCCAATCAGAAAAAAGCCTCTGACTCTCCCCCCGCCCATTTCCATCCTCGCCCAATCAATCAAAGCTGGTGGGCCCACCCCCTCTCCAGACGCAGCCAATCATAGCCTCGACTCCTGATTTGTCCCGCCCTCCTCCGGCGTCCTGTCCAATGAGGAGGCCGCTGCGCCACCCTGCCCCGCCATTCCACTCCCTCTCATCCAATCAGGAGCTTCCCCCGCGAGTTGAGCCGGGCCCGCCGGCCGGTCCTCCCGCCGAAGGCCCCCCCCGCGCGCCCCTGCTCACCGGACGGGGCGCGAGCAGGGCCACTCTCCACAGCTGCCTCGTCGCCATCAGAGCCGCAGCCATGGCAGAGACGCGGGACCAACGCGCGCCCGCTCCCGCGAGAACTAGTCAGCGAAATCCCGCGAGAGCTCCGACCTGGAATTCTCGCGACGTCTCGCTGAGGAAAACTGGCGTGCGCAATGAGGCAATGCCGCGCCTATTTTCCGCGAGTCGTCAGCGCCATATACATCCCGGCGGCCATTTTGTATCATCAGGTTGGGGGTTATCTCGAGACGTCCTGAGAGACGCATGCGCATTGACGGCCCTTTGGCTTGTTTCTCGCTCCTCGGGGGCAAATAAGTCTCGGCGGCCATTTTGTCCCTGGAAGTGTCTGTGATGGGTAGGGAGGCTTCGCGAGAAGGCGGAGCGCACGTGCGCACTGATGGGGCCGCGCCTTTTCTCACTCGCGGGTACGCAAAATAAGTCTCGGCGGCCATTTTATTCCTGAATCTCCGTGGAAATCTCGCGAGCGCTAGCTCGGCGCAGGCCCCGTGGTCACCCAGCGTCCCTTCTCGCTCCGCCCCGCGCTAGATAAATCCCGGCCGCCATTTTCTCTCCCCGGGAGCGCTAAGGCCACGTCCGCTCTGGGTCACGTGGCGCGTTGGGGGGCGCTGCTGATTGGCTGGCGGCGGAAGGCGCTTTCCCGACACCCTCCGCGGCGGTGGCCCCGGTTCTTCGGCCACGGGCGGCGATGGCGCTGGCGGGGATCGCGCTGCTCCTGGCGGCGGCGGCGCTGGGCGGGGCCAGAGGTACCGGACCCCGCCCCCGCCCCTGGGAGCCACCGCGGGGCGCCGGGCGGGGGGGCGGTAGCGCTGTGGGGGCGGGGCCAGAGGGGGCGTGGCCGGGGATCTAGGGGTCTGGGGGCGTGGCCGCGCTGTGGGGGTGGAGCTACAGGGGGCGGGGCCGGGGTCTGGGGGTGGAGCCAGAGAGGGGGCGGGGCCGGGGTCTGGAGTGGAGG